CAGCTTTCCTGAAGCTTCCAAAGCTTCTCCTATTCCCACCCTGGGAATGCTCCTCCAGCTTTCCTGAGAGTTCCAAAGCTTCCCCTGCTCCCAAGAGCTGGGAATGCTCCTCCAGCTTTCCCGAGAGTTCCAAAGCTTCTCCTATTCCCACCCTAGGAATACTCCTGCAGTTTTCCTGAAGTTTCCAAAGCTTCTCTTATTCCCACTCTGGAAATACTCCTACAGCTTTCTTGAAGCTTCCAAAGCTTCTCCTATTCCCACTCTGGGAATGCTCCTCCTACAGCTTTCCTGAAGCTTCCAAAGGTCCTCCCATCCCCACTCTGGGAACGCTCCTCCAGCTTTCCTGAAGCTTCCAAAGCTTCTCCTATTCCCACCCTAGGAATACTTCTCCTACAGCTTTCCTGAAGCTTCCCAAGCTTCCCCTGCTCCCAAGAGCCGGGAATGCTCCTCCAGCTTTCCTGAAGCTTCCAAAGCTTCTCCTATTCCCACCCTAGGAATACTCCTCCTACAGCTTTCCTGAAGCTTCCAAAGCTTCCCCTGCTCCCAAGAGCTAGGAATGCTCCCCCAGCTTTCCAGAAGGTTCTATCCCATCCCCTCCCACCCCCGCTCCTCCCCGGACGATCCATCCCACGGGGATCCCGGCAAATCCTCCCTTCCTCCCCCGCCATTCCCGGCACCGCTCCCACACCTCCTCGAAGTTCCCTTCCATGGGTTTGTAGGCCAGGAGCAGCACGGAGCGCATCAGGTCTCCCACCAGGATGAAGTCCCCCTTGGTCTTCAGGTAGAGGGCCATGATGTTGTTGTAGTGGTTGCACTCCGTGCGCAGCTCCTTCTCCGCCGTCCACTCGTACAGCCGCACCTGTGGGACACGGACACGGATCGGGATGCGCCCCACGGAGCCGGGATGCGCTCCCCAGACACCCGCCCGGACCTTCCCGGCCCTCACCGTGCTGTTGATGCTGGCCAAGAGCTTCCCGTTGAATTCCACCATGGAATACACGGCTCCCTTGACCTCCTTCTCGGCCAGGCTCTGCAGCTTCCCTGGAATAAAAGCCGGGAATCGCTGGGGGCTTCATCCAAGGGGTCGGAAGTCAAGGGGATGGCCCTGAACCTTCCTTCCTGAAAAACTCACTCAGAGGGACACAAGTGACAAGGGAATGGGGGAGAGATGATGTGGGAATGGGGGGAAAAGGGACACGGGAATGGGGGGAAAAGGGACACG